CGCATGGGAAAGAACAGCTTGGGCTCAGGGGCAGAGGGGAGGGATGATAAGAAGCCCAAGATGTGAGGACAGAGCCTGCGAGAGGAAAGGCAGGAGAAAAGGCAAGTTGGAATCCTCTCTCTCTGGTTTTTCAAGACAGTGTTTTTCTGTGTAGCCCTGGCTGTCCTGAAACTTGCATTTTAGAATAGGCTGTCCTCAAACTCATATAGATCTGCCTGCCTCTGGCTCCTGAGTGCTGGGACTAAAGGCATAGGCCACCACTGTGGGCAACAAGTTGGAATCTTGGGATGCCTGGTGAGGAGGCAAATGAGAAGGCCACAACAGATCTGGTGTTCCTTCCCATAAAGAAGGGGGTACGTGCTGGGCGGTGGTGGCGCATGCCTTTAATCCCAGCACTCAGGAGGCAGAGGCAGGCGGATCTCTGGGAGTTCGAGGCCAGCCTGGTCTACAAGAGCTAGTTCTGGGACGGGCACCAAAGCTACAGAGAAACCCTGTCTCGAAAAACAAAACAAAAAACAAAAAAAGAAGAAGAAGAAGAAGAAGGGGGTACATGACATCCTCAGGTGCAGTGGAATCTTTAGCTGGCCTCCTGGCTATGAAGTTTTATTTCTTCCTCTGCATTTTACTTTTCGTCTGTTATATTTGCACATCCTCAGCACACATGAGCTCAGAGGACAACCTTCAGGAAGTCAGTGCTCTTCTTTCACCGTGTGGTTCCCAGGATCAAGGTCAGGTCTTCAGACTGGTGGCAAGTGCCTTAGCCACTGAGCCATCTCTGGGGCCCCTAGCTGTGAGTTCTTCCAACCTATGACTCTCCGAGGATATGCTCTGTCTACTCGGATGTCCTGGATGTTTTCTTTTCATGGTCACAGAGGTAATATATACAGAAGAATCAAGTAAGCACAGGCTTATAAAGAAGAGAAAGTCCCACTCCACTACTACCACCTCCTGTGTAGTTTGCTGAAGTTTCTCAGAAGCATGTATTTGTAACAGATTATTCATGAAGCTGTGCCATACAAATGACTGTTGTTTCTGTTTGCTTGCTTAGAGTCAGGGTCTCACTGTGCAGCCCAGGTTGGCCTCAAGCACACAATCCCACTGCCTTGGCTTCCTTCGTGCTTTGTGTCCAGGTGTGCCCCACCACACCCAGAGAAACCTACTGGTTTACAAGGTACTTTTACACTGTAACAGTCAGCTGTGTCAACAGACATACGACAGTACCCCTGGGAACTGCAGGGCTGGGGCAGTGTTTGTGAGGCTTGTCCTGCTTTCTGCATGGTGAACTTTGCCTTTCTTTCTCCGTGCTGTTTCCCACTGTAACTGAGAACTGCCTGGACGTCATGGGCATCAGGCAGGGATGTGATCCTGTCTTTAGTCAAGTGACAGGAGTTGGGAGGAAGGTCATTAGTGTGTCTGTGACAAAGTTCCTGGCCACCAAACTTTGACCACATCTATAAAACTCCATCTAGGTGAAATGGCATCTTTTTTTTTTTTCTGAAGACTACAAAAAGGAAGAGATAGACATCACCGGTTGCCTTGGTTGTGTGGGATGCAGAAAGCTGGTGGGTAGGCAGGCCCAGTCAGCCAGAGCATCGTAGGCCTTCTTCCCTGAGCAGGGCCAGGAAGATGTTGGCTGGGGCTCCTGCGGCACCGGAGACGTAGGTGCTAAGAGCATATTCTCCTTTTTAGGTCAGGTGCTCTTTTTAGACGCACAATTTGGAGCTAAGAGGAACATGAGCCTGACAAAATATTAATTCTTGGATTTATTTCTAAGTAACTGTCTCTATCCAGCAGGTCTGATGACGAGGGAAGGGAGGGGGTGCTCTTTTGTTCTATTCCTACCTTCTTGCGTGAATATCCTCTCCCATCTCCACTTGCTGCTATGATTTGATTATATGTGGTGTTTTTTATATACCTGAGGGACTCTAATGGGCAATGGGCATTTTTTAAATTGGACCTATAATAAAAATTATATAAAACATTATTGGCTATGCATTCCATGCTGCTCAGTGGTATACCTTTATAATCTCATTTAATGACACTGGTTGTGGAGGCAGAGGCAGGCAGAGCTCTGTGAGTTCGAGGCCATCCTGGTCTACACAGTTAGATCCTGTTGAAAGCAAACAAGAAAAAGAGAAAAGACTGAAGGAAGGGAGGGAGGAAAAAGAGAGGGAGGGTCTGCAAAACAGGGATTTGAACCCAGTCCCATTGACCCTAGAGCTGTTCCTTACATGTTCCTTAGAGCTTTCTGTGTCAGATGTGTTAAGTCGGGGAAGGACCACCAACAAAATAAACTTTAGTTGGAGAGAATGCTGGTGAAGTACATCTCATTCCTTCTTCATGTTTAATGTCAGCTTAATATCTTCACAAAGAGTGCCTATTATAAAACTATTTGCTCAAGGTTATCCGCCTCCTGCCCCGCCCCCATCATCAGATGATTGTTATTTATAGCTGTGTTTAAACATCCTGGGCAACACAGAGTCACTGCACACTGGATTCATCAGCTAAGCCACGATTCTCAAAGATTAATGATTTGTTTTTGTTTTGTCCAGAAGGTAAAAGGATAATTCTTTTTCCTTTTAAATTATCTTTTGGCTTTAAGACAGGGTCTTACGCTGCAATCCCACTTGCCTTGGACTCATTGTGTAACCCAGGCAAGGTCCTTGAGATGGAGGAAATCCTCCTGCCTCATCCTCCTTAGTGCCGATATTATAGGCAGGTGATATCACTCCAGGCTGTTTTAAAAATTCATCAGTTCTCAGATTGAGTCATTTGGGTCACATTAGTTGAAACCAGATTAATCAAACCTAACTTTCAGACCCTTTGATTACTTTGAGGCTCTACAGAGTACGAAAGCATTCTTCATTTCTGCTGAGAGAATGGCAGCCTGGTTAGCATAGTTCTGTATTGTTTATGATCTGGTCTACCTTATCCCACTGCCTGAATGCTAATGAGAGCTTCCTAGAAGTCATTCCTCAAAAAGTTAAGTCACAGCATCTAATTATTTGGCTGGCAAGATGTTCTAAGTACATATAATTATATCTTCCCTCCATTTTGTGAGGGTGGTGAGCCAAGTAACCTGCATCAAGAGAAAATAAACAACATATTAATGCTACTAGCAAGGAGTGCCTAGCTAGAACCCTCATTATATAACCTTAGCATATATAGTGGGCATTTAGTACATCTCAGTCTGCCAAACTAACATCATCACGGTCTTTGCAGGTGAAAAAACTGTAGGATAAGGGATGCATGCTGGTCCTCTTGTGTACATCAGGAGCTGTATGAATCTGGCTAAGACCTTGTCAGTATGACGTTCTCAAGCCTGACCACTGACCTTGGAGAAATCCCTTCCATTTCCATTTTGTGTCCCTGCTTGCTTCCTACTTTTTGAGACAGGACCAGCTCTCACCTGGGTCCAAGACGATGGCAAAGAATAAGAGAAGGCAGCACCAGTGACTGTGGCTTTCTAACCACAGGCACTGGACAGTCATTCCTCTATTATACCACAGTCTTAACTCTTAGACTTGTCTATAAATTGGGGTTCTTCACTGCAAAGCAAACCAGAATCAGAATTAAGTTGGCATGACCTTTTCCCACTCTGGAAGAACAGTGTGTAAGAAGGCTTCTGGAAGAGTAGATCTCAGATACTTTTTTCTTGCACACTAGAGGGAGGTACCCAGGGAATGCAGAATTGGTTAAGCCAGTCCTCCTGGCCAAGCAGGTTGTCCTTGATACAGGAGGATTTTCAGCCCTGCCATTTGTAGATGGGGCCACTGAGGCCCTCTCTTAACTCGTAGGTCAGGGGGATGCCCTAGGAGCTGCGTCTTGCCTGCCAAGTGTCAGGCTTGACTGCTCCCCACAATAGAGCTTAGAAGATCAACCCTTGCCTTGTCCTTCATGGTTAACCATCCTTTGGCTTCTATACCTCTCAAACTCTGGGGAGAGCAATGTATAACTTCAGCCCATTCCATCCATTTCCTGCGGTATTGTTGGGGAAATTCAAGCTCCAGTAGGGCAGCAGCCGCCCTTGTTTGTCCACATGACCCCTCTGTCCTCTAGGCCTGGGATCTGGTAAATAGTTGGCGCTCTGTGGAGCCAAGTATCCTTGTAAATGCAGGGACAGTGCAATGTGAAAAAGTTTCGCAAACCCCAAAGAGATTCAATAACCAGGTCAAGGGCCGAGTATCAGCTTCCTTTACTGTAGCTACTTTTACTGGCGCCAGACCCAGCCAGGACCCATATGTTCACGTTCTACCGGCTTGTCCTCTAGAAAGGAGGTCAGGATCATTTCCAGTGGGCACAGGACTTGGAGAAAAGTGCACACCGGAGCTGTGGAAGGCCACAGGAGAGGAAGCTAGCTAGGCTCGGGACAAGGCTAGAATCGAAGGCCTGACCTCGGGCCCGCCCGCCGTCGCGCTGTGACAGGTGTCTGCTGGGGGTGTCAGGTGAGCGAGTGACACACCCCAAGCAGGTACATCTTCCTCCGCCTACGAATGACCTAATTACAGCAGCCTGCAACGCCCGGAGGTGGGGGAAGGTCACTCCAGGCAGTCTGCCTCTAGGAGCTAGTTCTTGTCCTCAAAGACGTGGGACTCCCGTGCGGTTCCCAGAGCTTCTGGCGTACGCGCCTTAGGGTTGTGACTGTTTCAGTGATCAGGCTGCCAGGGCCAAGACCTTATCTGAGCGGTGTTACCCGACGGCCTTCCCCCAAGACCAGGGCACAGACACAGCCCTCGCCTTCCCGGACTGCTCAAGCGCCGAGTACGCGCAGGCGTCTTTCGGAGCCTGGGACTCCCGGATTAACCGGGTTCGCCGCTTCGAGCACTGCGCTTGCTCCAACCCCGTTCCCCCCCCCCCCCCCCCCCCCCCCGCCGCCCTCCCCGCGAGGACCACGCCCCGAAATCGAAGGCACTTCCTCCGGCATCCAGCTCCGCTGCGCCTGCGCCGGGCCCCACGGTACGCCGCTTTAGGTCCGGGCCCCGCTCCGACGCCCTCCCCGCGGCCCCCGACGCCGGCGTGACGTCACCACGCCGGGCGGCCGCCATTACAGAAAGCCTGGTCCCGAGCTAGGGCGAGCGGAGGAGGAGGCACCGCGGCCGGCGGCCCAGTACTGCGGAGCGAAGCTAGCGGGCCGACGCCAGCGCCTAGCAGCCGCCAGGGGCCGCAGGAAGCACCCCGGGGAGCGGCGGCGGCGTGTGCGTGTGGCCCGGGTGCGGGCGGCGGCGCGGGAGCAGCGCGGAGCGGCAGCCGGTTCGGGCGGGCGTCATCATGGACGAGAAGTTGTTCACCAAGGAGCTGGACCAGTGGATCGAGCAGCTGAACGAGTGCAAGCAGCTCTCCGAGTCCCAGGTCAAGAGCCTCTGCGAGAAGGTGAGCGGGGGTAGGCCCCAGGTGCGGCTCCAGGAGGCCGCGGGGACGGTGCAACATGGCGGCACGGAGGCCAGGCCCCCCGAACCTCGCACACCGGCGCCCGGCGCTGCCCGCGGGGACTCGCGAGCGACCCGGCGCCCCCCGCCTCCCGCGCGCTGATTGGATGGCGCCGCCGCCGCGGCCTAAGATGGCGCCGTGCGCCGGGCTCCGGGCTTCCAAGCCTCCCGGCCCTGCCCGACGCCGAAGAACAGGGCGGCCGGGACCCTGCGTGGTCCGGCCAGGGACTGGCTCTGCTTTGGGCCTGGGAGCGGGACCTGGAGCTGCGGCGAGGTGGAGAAGAGGCTTTGCGCTTGCAGCCGGGCTTGCTTTGCTTCTTGGAGCTGGCGATGCCCACTGGGTCCCCCACAGGCGGGCTCTGAGGCCAGTCAGTGCCCAGCGCCTGTGTGGAAAGGTCATCGCGTTCTGGTCGGCTTCCTCTACGCCCTGTTTAAAGTGCGTTTAACGATTCCCAAACAAAAATAAAAGCCGCTAGCCCGATTTCTACGAAGGTCATAGTGGTAGTTACAAGGGAGGAGTATAAAGTTTTCATAGTTGGAAGAAATGGAGGATTTGGTGAGTCATACTATACGGAGAGCTTCGGGATTGGAAATCCAGTGGCATTTTAACTTATGATGTATATGCTGACTCAAATTGGATAGTGTGAGATCCTCTGTTTAACGTACTTGGCATGGTGCCATTTGTGTTTAGCATGAGCAACACAGACTGGAAGAGAACCAAATGTTGTGTCCTCTCTTGGTTGAAAGTTTCTTTCTTGTGTTTTGTGGCTACAAGTAGTGGTAGTGATCCCCGAGTTGACCGCCTGTGTTTCAGGCAGGGTGCTGAGTCGACACAGTCAAGTGGTGACTACGCATTGTATCTCAGGTTAGCTCGTTCCATTGGTTTTCCCCAAGAGTTGGGAGAGCAGGCTGCTAAGCTTTCGGTCGTGTGGTATTTTTCAAGTCTTATTAATGCAGTTTTCTAGTATAAAATGTTCATCTCCACTCTATTTTGTGTTCGCTTTTCACGGTTACTTTAACATTTAATTTTAGTGCAAAAATAAGGATTATGTTAGTAATTTGTGTCAGGAAGAATTTTTGGAGCACTGTATGCTCCTTTGTGGTTTGATGTAAAAAGGAGGTTTTTGCGTTTGATGAATATTTTCTGACTACACAGTTTTTCAGAAACTGCTGAGAATAATTGGGGCTTAAGACAGACGTGGGTTTATTTACCTCGGCTCTGTACAAAGAACGCTTCCTTCCCTCCCAGGTAACCCTGGCTGCCCTGGTACTGGTTATGTAGCCAGGGTAGCTTTGAACTTGTGGCAGTCCTTGTGTCTCAGCTTCCCAAGTGCTGGGAATGTTTTCTTTTCTTTTTTTTTTTTTTTTTTTTGAGACAGGGTATCTCCGTTGCTTTTGGTTCCTGTCCTGGAACTAACTCTGTAGACCAGGCTGGTCTTGAACTCACAGAGATCCGCCTACCTCTGCCTCCCGAGTGCTGGGATTAAAGGCGTGCGCCACCACCGCCCGGCTGCAAGTGCTGGGATTGGTTACATGTGTGTGCTACACCAATCCAATATTTTGATTTTTGTTTCTCTCAAATCAAACGAGGTGGTATTTTTAAGGTTTTGAAAATAAGTTTGTTTTTCGAGACAGGGTTTATTTGTGTACCCCTTAGCTGTCCTGGAACTCTAGATCAGGCTGGTCTTGAACGCACAGAGATCCACCTGCCTCGGCACCACCACTTCCGGGCTAGAAATAAACCTTTTAAAATTTACTTGTTGTACTCAAAAAATAAAACAAACAAACAAATCTAATATATTGCCAGGTCCTGGTTTCTGGTTGCTGACTCTGAACATTTTGAGTCAGTTAAATGGCAGTCATTTGTATAGAAAGAAAGACCACTCATTAGGCTGGAACACCACTACTTCTTGTTTCCCAACTAAATGGTTGTAACTGGTTTTCAGAAGTCCAGTTACTATAAAATAGTTAAAACATGTTCTGAGGTCACTTCTGATCTGATGGGATTGTGTCCTAAACTAGCACTTGTGTTTCTGAGTATCCAAGATTGCATGCTATTAGGAAGAGAATCGGAAGACAATGAGGAATAAATTATACATATCCTCAAGAAACTTTAATTTAGTTGGAAAGACTAGGATGGTAATATCAACTTGACAGTGGATCTCAACCTTCTTAATGCTACAACCCTTAAATGGAATTGTTCCTCATGTGTGACCCCCAACCATAAAATCATTTTTGTTGCTACTTCATAATTGTAATTTTGCTAGTTATGAATCGTATTTTGTAAATGTCCGCTATGCAGGACCCCTGTGAAAGGATCCTCAGCTCACAGGTCGAGAACCGCTGCTCTAGAGTCTGGGGAATTGTCTAGATCAGGTTGGCCTATGAACATGGTTTAGGAGACCTTCATTATGTTAGATGAGAAGACACACCGACTGTAGGTGGCACCATTCCCAGGTTGGGGGAGGGGAGGGGTCCTCAATTGTATAAGCATAGAGGAAGCTCCCTATGGGAGAGGTCTCCAGTGATCTAGGTTTGACCCCTTAGGACCTACATGGTAAAACACCTTACTCTTCTGACCTGTACAAACAAATAAATGTAATATTAAAAGTGTGAGGATGTATTCATTGCTCCTTTTCTTTTTATGTGATGTGAGTACCTCCCCTCAAGCTCCTGCCACTGTGACATCCCTGCTGTGATGGACTGGAATTGAACCAAAATAACCTGTTTTCAAGCCAGGCATGGTGGTGTGTCCCTTTAATCCCAGCACTCAGGAGGATCCCCGGTCTACAGAGTGAGTTCAAGGACAGCAAGGGCTACACAGAGAAACCCTGTCTTAGGAAGGAAAAACAAAACTTTCTCCCCAAAGTTGTGTTTCTCGGGGTGTCTTTTTAGCAGCAACAAGAAACTAAAGAAAGTATGGACTGAGTGGGTTTGCTTTGGAGAGCCTGTTAAAGATAGTAGGTAGAGAGGTGGGGTGGGTGAGGGCTGCAGCTTAATGGATCCAGTGTGTTTTTCACATCTTCGTGAAGCTCAGATGTGAGGCTAGCTGGCTTAGATTTTTTTCTCAACATGTGCAGATTTTAGGGTTTTAATGTATGTGTGTCTTACGTATGCAAATGTGTGTGGAGGTGCCCACGGAGGCTAGAGAGGTGTTGGATCCCTGGAGTCTGGTTATTTGATCCACTGGACTTGGGTGCTGGGAGCCCAGCTTCAGTCCCCTACAAGAGCAGCATGGACTCTTTTTTTTTTTAATATTTATTTATTTATTATGTATACAATGTTCTGTCTGTGTGTATGTCTGCAGGCCAGAAGAGGGCACCAGACCTCATTACAGATGGCTGTGAGCCATCATGTGGTTCCTGGGAACTGAACTCAGGACCTTTGGAAGAGCAGGCAATGCTCTTAACCACTGAGCCATCTCTCCAGCCCCCGCAGCATGGACTCTTAACTCTTAACCATTGAGTTCTCTCAGTAGTCTAAAGTTTTAATTTTAGAGCCACATAAAAATAATTATTGCCAGGTAGTGGTAGTAGCGTGCCTTTAATCCCAGCACTCAGGAGCAGAGGCAAGCCTCCTACAGAGCCAGTTCCAGGACAACTAGGGCTACACAAAGAAACCCTGTCTCGAAACACCTAAAATTAATAATAATACTTGAGTGAAGTGGTGGTGGCACGTGCTTTTAAAATCCCAGTACTCAGGAGGCAGAAGCAAGTTGATCTCTTTGCCTTTGAGGCCATCTTGGCCTACAGAGCTAGCTCCAAGAAAGCCAATGACTATACACAGAGAAACCCTGTCTTGACAAACCAACAGCAAAAAAAAAAAAAAAAAAAAAAAAACAAACTTGATTGGTGGTGCATACCTTTAATCCCAGCACTGGGGAAGCAGAGGCCAGCCAGAATTACAGGGTGGAACCTTATCTCCAAAAAGGTGGGGGTGGAGGGGCTAAAATGAAAATGATAGTTCTTGAACCTATTTCAAAGTTTCCTTGAAGCTGAGCGGTGGTGGCGCTCGCCTTTAATCCTAGCACTGGGGAGGCAGAGGCAGGTGGATCTCTGGGAGTTCAAGGCCAGCCTGGTCTGCAAGAGCTAGTTCCAGGACAGGCACCAAAGCTACAGAGAAACCCTGTCTCGAAAAACAAAAAAAAAAAAAAAAGTTTCCTTGAAATAGATACTTTTGATGAATGTTGTTGCCTAACTTGCTTGATTTGGATTGTATTTCAACTTTTGTAATGATGTAAATCTCCTAAACAATACTATGATGTTTTAGACTGGGAGATGCATGTCATGGTATACCTTGTACAAGTCCTAGTAAAACAGAACAGGTAATGTTTTATTGCCGATTCTATCTCTATGTGAAAACTACGTTTGCTTTTGTTGTGTTTGCCTTCTAAATATTACTTGTTCATTTATTTTGTTTCATTTGCAAGACAACTGTTCCTGTGCCTAGACCAACCTCAGACTCAACATCTTCTCGCTTTGGTCTCCCAAATGTTAGGATTGCAGATGTGTAGTGTAGATACAAGTGCCACCATATCCAGCTTTAACAGCAAATTTGAAAATAAGCTACATTTTCTGTCAGTTTAGTCATGCTTGTTAAAGAACTACACCCATCAAAAACAGCTATTGATGATCTCATAAGAAGGAATGATAGCCTCAAAGTCCTTCCCCCTTTTGTGAAGGTAAAGCTAAACCCCAGTGGTCACTCCAATTAACCAGTTTGAGAACTCTCTTCTGTTACCTTGTCACAATAGCAGTGTTGCTTCAAAGCAGAAAGGATCCAGATGTGTATCATAACAGTGGGGAGCATGATTTTTTTAAATATTTATTTATTATGTATACAATATTATGTCTGTGTGTATGCCTGCAGGCCAGAAGAGGGCACCAGACCCCACCACAGATGGTTGTGAGCCACCATGTGGTTGCTGGGAATTGAATTCAGGAC